CTTTTTCCTATTTTTTTAATAAAAACAGTGATATTATAAAAAAATAAATATCTTTAAAATTTGTTCATAAATCCTTGGAAAAATCTATTCCTTAAAAAATATGTATTTTTTAAAAAAATTGGAAGAAATCAAAAAAAAAAAAAATTAAATTACCCAATGATATGAAAAAATTACCTACTGATGAAAAAAATATTTTCTCCTAAAAAATATTTAATTTTCATGGGAAGAAATATTAAAAAAAAAAATACCCACTACATAACGTTCCCTCGGAAAAACATTCCAAAAAAAATGATATTTTCAAAAACTAAATATCTTTAAAATGTATTTAAAATAATACATGAAAAACTATTTTCTTTAAAAAATATATATTTTTTTTTATTCTGGAAAAGAAAAAAATTGAGAAAATCATTTTTCAAAAAAAAAAAAAAAAAACAGTGAGGAAAGTAGTAAAGTCGGACTGGGCCGACTATATGATACCCTTCACCACTTTGGGTATATTATACATATGTATATTTACAGTTGCATGTCAATGTTCTCTCGGACAAACAAATCGGACGAATGTATATGTATACGTAGGAGTTATATCGAAATATGAACCGATTATCCCGAAACGTACCGCACAGCATTCTAGACTCAATCGAATACACTATGCCAAATGTCGTGCAAACCGAAGGATATATAGGGACTTTGGTGCACCATTTACATTAAATCGGACGAAAGTATATATGGGAACTATATCTAAATTGAAACCGATTTCAACGAAATTTATCACATGTGATTCAAGACATAATTCCGTACGCTATGCCAAATTTCTTGCAAATCGAAGGATATATAGGGACTTTGGTGCACTATTTACATAAAATCGGACGAAAATATATATGAGCTATATCTAAATCTGAACCGATTGTCACGAATCTTAACACTCATTGTTCTAGAATGTATTTAGTACGCTATGCCAAATTTGGTGCAAATCGAATGATATATAAGCACTTTGTTGCACCATTCACATTAAATCGGACGAAAATATATATGGGAGGTGTATCTAAATCTGAACCGATTTTTACGAAACTTTGCACACATCATTCTAGGTTGAATTCAATACGCTGTGCCAAATTTCGTGCAAATCGGAAGATTTTTAGGGACTTTGGACGAAAATCGGACGAAAATATATATGGGAGCTATTTCTAAATCTGAACCGATTTTTACAAAACTTTACACACATCAGTCTAGGTTTAATTCAGTACGCTGTGCCAAATTATGTGCATATCGGATTTTTTTTATAGCGACTTTGGTGCACCATTTACCTTAAATCGTACGAAAATATATATAATAACTATATCTAAATCTGAACCGATTTTTACGACATTTTGCACACATCTGTCTAGGCTGAATTCAGTACGCTGTGCCAAATGTCGTGCAAATCGGAAGATTTTGAGGGACTTTGGTGCACCATGTACCTTAAATCGGACGAAAATATATATGGGAGCTATGTCTAAATCTGCGCCGATTATTCCCAATTTCAATAGGGTTCATTCTTGCGCCAAATAAGTGACCTATGCCAATTTTCATCCAAATCGGATAAAAAATGCGACCTGTACTTTGTTTACAATTTAACATGGACAGACAGACGGACATGCATAAATCGACTTAGAAAGTGATTCTATGCATATTATCAAAAGGAACCTTGTGTCTATCTCGTTTCCTTTTGCCTGTTACAAACATATGCACAAAGACATAATACCGTGTACCACAGTGTGGTGAAGGGTATAAAAATCCACATTAAAAAAAATTTTTTTTACAACGCCCTCTTGTTTTTTCAATAAAAATATTTTACCTGGAAAGCTATTTGATTGTCATTAGAATTTTTTTAAAAAAAAAACTCCCACAATGGACAACAATTATAAAAAATATTATAAAACCTATTCCCATGTTTTTAATAACAGCAGTGATATTTCAAGTAAATAAACATAAATAATTAAAACATTTTTTAATCCATGGACACATATATATTTTTAATATATATATATATATATATATATAATTTAAAAAAGTTCTTAGCAAAATTTTTTTAAAGTCTAAAGTCTATCAAAGGCCTGGATTTTTTCAGAAATATTTTTCCTGGTCTCCTATAGGTTTTTCAAAAATATTTTTTCAAGGACTACCAAAGACCTTGAAAATATTTTTTCAAGGTCTACTAAAGGTCTTAAAATTAGATATAGATAATAGGTAGTGCACAGTTTGGTTCAAACCGGGCATTCCTTTCGCATGATATTTTAAAAAATAATTTCAGCAAAATATTTTGGTACCAGAAGGAGTGAACCGATATTCCCACCTTCGATCTGCAATTCATATCATTTTTAATAGTGTAAATGATATATTTTGAATGTTCTTTTTTCTTTGGAACTATCCCCGCCCTGCTATTTTTTGAAATACATTTAAAAAAGCCTTATCACTTATAATCCGGGATAATACTTATAAAAAAAACTTCCTAAAAATTTTCAAGAATTGTTGTAAAGATATCCCTTAAAATATACCGGATTTCCCTTAAAAAAAATATTTTTTTTATATTCCTTGGCTGTAATAAAAAAATCCATTCATAAAAAAATAATCCTAAAGAATCCATGACATAAATATAGAAGGTTGTATCATTTGTGAAATTAGTAATGGCAACTCGCATATCATTTTCAAATAAAATTAAAAAATTCCACAACATTTTGTGTATGTCGATTAAATTAAATATATTTTCCAAAGCTGCACATTATTCTCTAGATGTAAAATTTGGGTGCTACAACTTAAGAAGCAGGGAAATTCAAAATATTAATACATATAAATAATTTTGCAATTTTTCCACTGAACACATGCTATCCGTACATTTCGAAGGAAGATTTTTTCATTAAAATTTTGAACAATAATGCCATGCCTTGAACAATAATGCCATGCAAAAAATCCTTTAAATAAATAAACATTATTTCTCAAGAATCCTTGAAGAAGAATCATTATTTGAAAATGTATCCCCAGTGAAACCCCTATTTTATACCCTTTACCACACAGTGGTACAGAGTATTATGTCTTTGTGAATGTGTTAGTAACAGGCAAAAGGAAACGAGATAGACACATGGTTCCTTTGGAGAATGTGCATATAATTACTTTCTGAGTCGATTTATGCATGTCCGTCCGTCTGTATGTCCATGTTAAATTGTAAACAAAGTAAAACTCGCATTTATGATCCGAATAGAATACACGTTGGCACAGCTCATTTCTTTGACCTAAGGACAAATGCCTATTGAATCGGTTCAGATTTAGATATAGCTCCCATATATATTTTCGTCCGATTTAATATAAATGGTGCAACAAAGTACCTATATATCATTAGATTTGGTCGAAATTTATTTATTTTCTTGGATTTTAGGTGCACCAAGTGACACGAAATTTTGCACAGACACAACTTCCATATATATTTCAAAATTTTGAAGAGTGCGGCCTACCGAATATCTTGCATCAACATTGCTCTAAATCGATTTACATTTGTCCCATTCAACGAAAACGACTCTAAACTTGCACAAATGAAATGAAATTCAGCATAGATTCCAGAAAGGCATAAACATCACATATTCAAGTTCGTTCAATTTCATGTCAATGTTATAATATACCTAAAGTGGTGAAGGCTATCATATAGTCGGCCCAGTCTGACTTTACTACTTTCCTTACTGGTTTTTCTTTTTTTTTAATAACTACGATCTGATATCCCTTGGAAAAATGCTTTGTTTCTAAAATTTACGCCCTGTTCTCCCCTGAAAAATTAATTTCCTCCAAAAGCCGAGCTTAAAAAAGATTTCCAAACGCGTCGGTCTTGTGCGCATCTCCGCCAATTTGAAAGACCACGTTCCAAGATGTTGCTTTCTACTTGGCCTTTCCATGTGATTCCCCTTCTACGGGAACCATCAGTAGACTCGCTTTTATATGCCTTTTCAGTTGGGGCATTCTCGTTCATTCACACAACATGGCCTAGCCATCGTAGTCGCTGCAGCTCAATACGATTGACTATGTCGATGTCTGCGTATAAATTTTAAAGCTCGTGGTTCATTTGACGCCGATATTCATCGTCGACGCAGATTGGGCCGTAGATCTTTCGGAGAATTTTTCTTTCAAACACCCCAAGAGCTGCCGCATATGCTTGCGCAAGTACCCATGCTTCAGATCCATATAACATCACGGGTAGTATCAGCGTCTTGTAAAGTGTGAGTTTGGTCTGGCGGGAGGTGGCCTTGTTTCTAAACTGCTTACTTAAACCTTAGTAGCATCTGTTGGCCATCACAATCCGAATTTCAAAACAGATGTCATTTAGTGTTCCTGGAAAATAATTCCTTTACTAAAATATTCTTTAATAAATTCTTTAATAAAAAAATTATTTTTAAAAAGTACAACATAGTCTTATAGTTATAATTGCAGTTAAAAAAATATTCATTTAAAAATTCATTGCCGTTAAAAAAATAAAATATTTTTAGAAAACCCCAATCACAACCACGTGTCCAAAACAAATATTCTTCTCCAATTGTCTTTGCAAAAGTTTTAATTAATTAATAATTTTATTTCTTGGGTGCAGAACCTACCCTCAAAAACAAAAAATAAATTTAATTCAATATCGATTGACCTCTACACCCCGATAAGATCCAACACCAATTGATAACAACGAACGAACTTGAGACTCAATATTTCCGTTACAAAATATTGAATATCTAAGTGTTGGTGTGTTGTAACAAGTCAACAATTACAACACCACCATCTGCCTATTCGAAATAACATAATAATAACAACATCATCTTCTAAATGACAATATCTTGTAATAATGCTTTAATTAAAATTTTTTCTATTTTTTCTCCCCCTTTCACCTCTTTCCCAACTCTCCATCCAAAAAATAAAATACAACGCTAATTACAGTTGCTGGAGAAACATTACAATGTTATGTTTGTGATGGCGATGATTGCGATAGTCTTGAGACAATGAAATTGGAAGTGTGTTACGATGATGGTGATGAAACAACAACACCATCACCATCAACTCCACCAACAACACCATCACCAGAATCAACAGTCGTTACGGATACACCGACAACAGCACAGCCATCAGAATCGACACCATCGCAGCCATCCGAAACAACAACACCAACAACCCAACCTGCAGAAACCACAACAGTAGCACCCGGTGCGCCCGAAACAACAGTGCAACCTCCAGCTGCAGAAACAACTACAACGACAGCACCAGAAGTTCCAGAAACCACCACAGTAAAACCTCCAGCTCCGGAAACAACAACAGTAGTAGTAGAAACGCCTGCTCCGGAAACAACAGTAGTACCCCCAGCAGAAACACCAGCTCCCGAAACAACAGTAGCCCCAACAGCTCCCGAAACAACAGTAGCCCCAGCTGTTCCCGAAACAACAGTAGTACCCCAAGCTGAAACGCCTGCTCCAGCAGTTCCCGAAACAACAGTAGTACCCCCAGCTGAAACACCTGCTCCAGCAGTTCCCGAAACAACAGTAGTACCTCCAGCTGAAACGCCAGCTCCAGCAGTTCCCGAAACAACAGTAGTACCCCCAGCTGAAACGCCTGCTCCAGCAGTTCCCGAAACAACAGTAGTACCGCCAGCTGAAACGCCTGCTCCAGCAGTTCCCGAAACAACAGTAGTACCGCCAGCAGAAACGCCTGCTCCAGCAGTTCCCGAAACAACAGTAGTACCCCCAGCTGAAACGCCAGCTCCAGCAGTACCCGAAACAACAGTAGTACCCCCAGCTGAAACGCCAGCTCCAGCAGTACCCGAAACAACAGTAGTACCCCCAGCTGAAACGCCTGCTCCAGCAGTTCCCGAAACAACAGTAGTACCCCCAGCTGAAACGCCTGCTCCAGCAGTTCCCGAAACAACAGTAGTACCGCCAGCTGAAACGCCTGCTCCAGCAGTTCCCGAAACAACAGTAGTACCGCCAGCAGAAACGCCTGCACCTGGAGCAACAGCTCCCGAAACAACTGTCAAACCTGCCGAAACTCCTGCAGAAACTAAATCTGCCTCAGCAATTCTTTTAAGAAATTATCGTGCCCTATCACGTAGCCGTCGTATGACTGCATCTAATGGTACCGGATACGCTTGCTATACCGTGGAATATAAAGGTAAAGTATCACTTTGACGCGACTTACGGACAATTGACAATAATAATGAGTTGAGGGGTAAATACAATAGGGAAGATGACGATGTCATGACATATATCCTTTTATAGATGGTTTCTGAGACCACCATTTTAGTGTAGATTGCCTCTGATATGTATATGGCGTTTGAGACCGTCACTCTAATACAGATAACATCTGGGATCACCACTCTATTGTCGATAGCCTCTGAGACCACGTATTTTATTTTCGATGATCTTTGAGGACGTCGACTTAATTGTAGAGACCTCCACTTTATTGCAAATGCAATATGCAAACGTCGACTCAATTATCGATGGCCTCTGAGATCCCCACTCTATTCAAAATGCCTTCTGGTACAACCTACTGTATTGTGGATGGCCTCTGAGACCATCACTATATTGCTATTGGCCGCTGATATGTCTATGGCTTCTGAAACAACAGCTCTATTACCAATCGCCAATGAGTGCATCCAATCTATTCTCCATGGCTGAGACCTCAACTTTTTCATAGACGACATTTAAGAACATCAACTGTATTGTAGATGGCCCCTGAGAATTCCACTCTGTTGTAGATGGCCTCTGAGACTTCCACTCTTTTGTATATGTTGTTTAAGGACATCAACTTTATTGTGTATGGCCTCTGAGACCATAACTCTATTGTAGATGGACTCTGAGACCACCACTCTATTGTATATGGCCTCTGAGACCATCACCCTATTGTAGATGGCGTCTGATACAACCTACTCTATTGTAGATGGCCCCTGAGACCACCACCCTTTTGTAGATGGTATTTGAAGCCGTCACTCTATTTCTGATGGCGTCTGAGACCACCA